GGAGGTCCGTCAGATGATCTGTCTGAAGTTTAGACTTGACAATCATATCATCAATATATGCCTCAACATTTCTCCCAATTTGATCAAAGAACACAGTGTTTATCATTCGTTGGAAGGTGGCCGGGGCATTCTTAAGACCAAACGGCATGACCGTGTAACAGTATAACCCTTGATCAGTGACGAAGGCCGTCTTCTCCTGATCCTTCTTCCATAAAGGTATTTGATGGAAACCAGAGTAGGCGTCCATAAAACTCATCAAAGCATGGCCGGCTGTTGAGTCGACCAGATTGTCAATTTTAGGCAGAGGGTAACTGTCTTTTGGGCACGCCTTATTCAAGTCTGTGTAGTCTACACACATTCGCCAGGTACCATTCGGCTTTTTAACAAGCACAACATTTGCAACCCAATCTGGGAAGTAACATTGCCGAATGAATCCTGCATCAAGTAATTTTTTGACCTCGGCGGCTGCCGCCTGACTTCTTTCTTCGCCATGGTTCCGCTTCTTCTGCCTTACCGGCTTCTTTTTTGGATCCACAGCCAGTTTATGTACCGCCAGCTCAGGACTAATGCCTGGCATTTCATGGACTTCAAATGCGAAGATGTCCTTGTATTCTCTCAATAGTTTTTGAAAGTCGTCACCCAAGTCTCTTAGAGCAGCCGTCCCAACTTTGACAGTTCGGTCAGGACGAGAGTCATCTAAGATCAGGTCCGTATGCTCACCAGCCGGCTGAGGGCGGAATTCATCCGACCGCTCCTCTGCCAATGATTGCTATTTTTTATCTTTTCTTGCGGCCCCCATCTGGGATGCTTTTCTTTTCTTGCCGCCTGTTTCGTGAACAGGCGCATTACTTTTGACATTGTCAATCTTTTCTCCACTGGACCCAGCGGCCATGACAGTGGGCTTGACATCCGAGAGATAGCACTCTCGTGCCATCCTCTGATCTCCCCTTAGGGAGCCGACTGTTCCATTGTCCCTCTCAAACTTGAGCAACATAAGAGATGGGATAATTACAGCCTTGGAATTATTCAGGGTTGGTCGTCCCAGAATCATGTTGTAGGCCGAGAGTTCTTCTACCACCAGGAACCGGACTACCATGTGTCGTCCTTCCCCTTTTTCACCCAGGCGGATGGGCAGATCTACTCGTCCTACAGGGTGGACGACTCCTCCTCCAAACCCTACTAAAGGGTGGGAGGCCGGATGTATACAATCAGTTTTGTACTTCAATTTTGACAGACATTTGCTACTGATAAGATCTGAGGAGCTTCCTGTATCTATGAGGATTCGGCCAACTCTCTGATTGGCCACTTTACATTCAATGACGATAGGGTCGTCATGCGGCCCCCGTACCCCTCCTAGATCTTCCTCAGTAATGACAATCTCAGGAAATGAATTTTTGGAGGGCCGTTCTGGGTGAACAGAATTTACATCTAGCCGCCTGATATTGTCTTTGTTGCCCCTAATAGTGGGACCTCCTCCTGCGAAGCCGCCTGCAATAGTATAGACGACTGCATCATCTGTATCAGAGCTGTCGGCCTGTTGATTCTTTTTGGCCGACTGCTTTTTCGAGGAAGTGTTCCCCGTGGATTTCTTGATACAAGAGTCAAGATCACCTTGCTCAGCCAGGCGGTCTAGATACCGCATGAGACTGATGCATTCGTTGGTGTGATGACCAACATCTTCATGATAATCACAGAATTTATCTTGGTTCCGGTTGCTTGCAGAACCCTTCATGGGGACCGGCTTCTCAATAGAGATCCGTCCCTTGATTTCTTTTAGGATAGTTTGGCTATCCTTGCTAAACGCATACTTTGGGGAGTATGGTTTGAATTCTTTTTTCTTCTTCTGGGCCGGCTGTTGAGAGGAATCAGCCGCCCAGACCTCTTTTCTTTTCTCATCTTTGTTGGACGACTGCTTCTGTCGTCCTTCTCTTTTGTCAGACCTTTTCCAGTCCGACTGTTTCACTGTACTACAAAGATCAGTTGCCTGTATATAGGCTTCTGCTTCAATCAAGGCCTCTTGAAGAGTCGCCACCCTCTTTCGGACCAAATCAAATTTGAAGGTCGACCCATCCTTGAGACCCCTAAAAAAGTCAGTATAAGCTACCTCATCCGGTAACCCTTGAATCTGTATTCTCATCAGGTTAAACCGCCTGATGTAGGATCGAAGCCCCTCCTTCTCGCCCTGCTGAATTGTCCCCAAGTCAAGGGTCGTCTTCTTCGCAGGGATGTTCATGGCGAAGTTGGAGGTGAACAGGTAAGCCAGCGTCCTGAAGTTGTTTACACAACCAGTCGGCAGGTTGCCGAACCATTGCTGTGCAATTCCTTTAAGAGTCGCTGGGAAACACTTGCACCAGGTGGGATCATCCAACCCTTGAAGGTACATCAGGTTGGTGAATGCCATCAGATGGTCTTCTGGGTTAGTAGTGCCGTCATAGGCGCCTACTAATACATTTTTCACCTTGGCCGGCTGAGCGGCTTCAGTAATTTCCTTGGAGAAGGCCGACGGCTGTTCACCAAGTCTAAGCAACCGTAGCTGCCAGTCCATAGGTTGGACATTTTTTGCTGCAGGTCCACCAAATGGAGGCGGCTGCAAGAAATATTGTTGTTGCGGTACAAACGGTAAGTTTGGTACCGCCTGGTCGCTATGAAAGCCTGACCGACGGGAGGTGCCGCCTGTCTGACTCTCATGGTGCGACTGAGTATGCCTCGTCGAGGCAGTTCGCAGACTATCTTGGAAGTTTGAAGTAGAAGCCGACTCTGACAATCGGTCACTCCTCTTCTGCTCTAGCAGTAGCCGAGCGTCTGTGTATGTTTTCTTCGACCCATCCGCCTGAGTATGACGAACAGGTTTCCTATTTCCTGGAGTAGGAAAATGGTATTTTGTGAGATTAAGGGCAGATGGCTCCCACTTCCTAGATTTAGGATGAGGGGTTGTCTCTCGCCCCTGAACTGGCTTCCTCTTCCGTGAGGAGGAAGGCTTCTTAGCCGAATGCTCTTTGTCCAGAGCAGGCGTCTTCTTAGTAATTAATTCCTGAATTTCTCCCTTTAAGTCCCTCATGAAGGTCATGAGCTCGTTTCTTGTAATGGGAGCAGATCCATCAGTCGGCTGCTGCCGAACAGATGGTGCGCCTGTTGGCTCGCTAACAGTTTGAAAATGTTCCCGTTCCCTCCTTTCGGTAGGACGGGTGCGTCGGGCCCTTAGGGTCCCGTCTGGAGCTGTGTGAGCTTCAACTTCAAGTTCATTGTCAGTATCATGGTCCGACTGGACTTGAGGGTCGTCTAGGGGACGCCTCTCTTCAAAAGTCGGTACAAACGTGGATGCCATCTCAGAAGTACTCTCCCCACAGACGGCGCCAAAATGTTTCGGGGTTTTCTGATGTCCTGCGGGAGAGTTACAACACCGAGACTGGAACCGGACGCCTGTACCTGCAAAACAACGAAGACTCCTTGTGGTAGGAGCTCCGCCTCCGACGATCAAGTTAGTACTTGTATGAGGAGTAATAAGTGCGGAAATTAAAGGGGGGAGATCTGGTTCCTCTAGGGGAGGAGTGATCAATGTGTTTAGACTTCTCTAGGTGAGAGTCATTAATGTATAATCCGTGTGTTATTCGAGTTCTCTCTCTCTGTTTTCTTTTTTCTGTTCCTGAATTAATGAGGATTAAGAGAGGTATTTATATCCTCGAGAAGCGTGCCAGTCTCTAGGTTTAGGGTAAACCTAGGGCTGACTGGGCCTCATAACAGGATTGGGCCTTGGTGGCCGGTTTTCCCATTTGGCATGGGTGGACACATGGCGTGTCTCAATTAGTCCGTAGAGGACATATCTGTGACTGACACGTGGCAGGCTCCTGTTGGCCCACGTGAAGGACACGTGGCGGAACCTGGTTGGTCCACTTGTCAGACGGTGACTGGTGGATAAAAATCCCCTAATCACCTTCCATCCCTTTGGGATTGTGAAGCCGGCATAAGAGAGGTCAGTTATAGCCTCTCTAAAACCTCCGGGTGCGGGTGGTATTAGTCTCATAGATTCACATACCACATTCCAAGTGTACTTCATTTTTTGGATATCCTTCCAAGTTAATAGCTCCCCTTTCCTTTTTGATTTCGCAATCACCAATTGTTCTTGTGATAGAAGATGCATGCAGGAAAACCAAACAAACACATACAATCAACCTAAAAGAGTTTAGGAATCAGAACTAAATAATAGTTAGTAGAAAATATGTCATGTTCAATTCTCACATGATCAAATTAAAGTGTAATGATAGAGAATATTGATAGAATATTCTCATCCTAGGTTTAGGATATATTTTGTATAAGAATATTTTTATGATATCTTTACATATCTTGTTAGTTACCTAATATGATTAAGACTCTCATTGTAACTCTATAAATATTGATCAATGGAAATCACTATAATTAAGGAGTTTTATATTATTTTACATGGTATCAGAGCTTAGGTTAGATCTTGAGATTGTTTAGATCTAAAAATTTCTCTTCCCCTGCCGGTGGGTTAGAAAATTATACCCACCGGCGGGATTCACAAACGATTAAAAAAAAATAAAAAATAAATAAAAACACTTCTTTTACAAAATAACAAACAAGATATGTAAAGATATCATAAAGATATTTTTATACAAAATATATCCTAAAGCTAGGATGAGAATATTCTATCAATATTCTCTATCATGTAACACTTAAAATAAAACGGAGGGAATAAATATGATGATATTCATGAATATTGCGACAACATACCTTGTAAAACTCTAGCATAAACATGGGGATATTCAGCAAGGTGACTAATTACAAATGTGATGGCACTGCTTGAAGTATATAATCCAGCAAACAAGACACCAAGAATTAGACCAGCTAATTCGTCGTCTTCAAAAACCACGCCTTCTTTATCCGAAGCCCTTAGCACTCGAGTCAATAGGTCGTCTTGAATCTCTTGATCGCGATTATTCATATCATTTTCTAACAATTCCAATTTTCTCTTCCTAATTAAATCAATCAGGTTGTCTAGGACAGCCTTCGACGCCTTCATAGCCCGATTGTATTGCGTACCAGGCAAGTTTCACTGGCACGGACATAAGCCCTTTAACAAAAGTATTGAAACGCTCAGCTAATTCCTTCACTTGATCTATCTCATGGAAGTTAAACGACAAAAGACAAATGAGTTCAAAGGTGAACTCTTTAGATAAAAATTGAACCTTTACTTCATCGTAAGGCACCCAATACATCTCTACATGATCGCGTGTCTTTGAATCCATAACATGAATATATTGTTGCAAGGACTCGAGCTTAAGGAAGTTTAGTAATTGCTCTACGAACAATTTAAGTGATGGGATATCGCGATCAATTGATTTCAAAGAGAGAGCTTTCACAAAGGTGTGAGGTAACCAAGGCTTAAATTTGTCTTCATTTGAATATATGAACTTGTTACCTAATGGACCACAAAAAACCGCGATTTTTTCCCCTGCCAATGAAGTTTGGAAGACATCATGAGAGTGTTTCATCATTCGATCACGTATAAATTCAGCAGGGCGTCGGACATAATCTAAAGTTTCACCAAGAATCGGCCAGCCGGTTTTACCCGGAGGAAGGTTTGTGCTAGGCTTGACCTTCCTAGATTTATGAAAGAAGAGAAGGAAAATTGCACAGACAAGTCCTAAGAAAATAATTGTAGTCATGTTCTTATTCAATTTCGATTATGTGTAGGTGATCTTTAGTTGGATAAATAGTATACTAGATAGACTTTTGACATCATATTGAATTTGTTTTAATGTATATATTATAAAATATATAATAATAAAATCTTAATTTTCTTACTAATGCACAATTTGTGAACAAATAATAATTCATCATATTGATACTCTTAACGGTTTGTAAAATAATCCAATCCCATAGAAATGTTACTTCTTTAATTTTAAAAAAATTTAGACTTATTTGTGCATGTTTTTATCATGAACTAGCTGGATCATTGGCATGAGTTTAGGCAAGCAGTTTTGCATGATATGGCATGAAGCCTACTAACTTCTTTCTTGCTTCACGGAAATGGTGGCTAGTCATTTGATTTTCCTCTTTTGCGTTTGATGGGTGCTATGTGTTTGATTGTTGCGCATTATTATATTATTGATGCATTAACAATGTATCGTTGTTTTCCTTTCTAATATAATAGATTTTAATATCGACTTTTTTGCGTAGAATAATTTAAGTACTACTTCTTTTATTATTGAAGATATTAGTGGTCAAAGTCGTGCATTAGAAGCCGTGCAACACGAACATCTTAAAGAAAAATAATGGATATTCATCAATTCCACAAAAAATTATGAGTAAAATAATTAATTAATTATTAATAGAGAAACAGATAGAATAATACAAAATTACAATAAATTTACCAATTTCAATATCAACATCAATAAAGAAAACTTTCATGAATTCTTGCATATATGCATATCCAACTAATAACCTGGTCCATTAATAGCAAAATGGGCCTAGGTAATCTAAAGTCCCAAACAAATAGGAGTGTCAGTCCAATAACAAGTTCAAAGGTGATTCTATACTAATTTCAACTGGAAAAAAAATAGGAGTAACTCCTATAGCTTATATGGTGCTATGTTCTCTCTTTAACTTCAACGTGGAATAATTCACATGTGCGCAACAAATAGGGTTTCAACATCAATGAAGGTTACTTAGAAGCTATGTTCAAAGGTCAAAGTCTTCATCATCATCCATCTCTCGATCCATCAATACCCAAGATCCATCTGACCGGTTAACCATGCCCCTATTCTTCAATATCCACCAAGCAACAGGGATGAGGAACTCGTCCTTTAAATTATCCCAATGTTTATTTACTAATGAAATGTCACGATCTACTACCAATTCGAACGCTTTCTCACCACGTTGTGTTCCTGCAACACCGTGCAAGTAGACCTCCGAGTTGTGCCAAGTAACTACATTTCCGGGGAACTTCAAGTACGGTGACCTAGTTGTGTCGATCACCAACTCCTCTCCGACATGGACATAGTCGATAGGTGGGTAGTGTGGTACGACATCTAGGGCGTTACGTACCCTTAATATCTTAAGGTTGTCATACTTTAAAAAGAACTTTAAAAAATTGGCGTCTCCTACTCGAGGACTAGCAAATAATATGGCTGTTACCAAGCATGATTTTCCGGGGGAGCTTTTAGGCATGTTAAGGTTGTTAACAACTATATCAGCCGCGTTTAGTGTAGCTTGTGCTGCTCCCATACTATGGCCTGTTATTGTTATACTAACCTCTTCATTCTTGTATTGTTCCATTAGATTTCGAATCTCAAGTAGTACCTATATATAAATCCAACCAAGAATAAAAAAATAATAAGTATATATCGAGATGAATCCAGCAAGATCTACATAAGTATATAATGATCGTTGTTTATTATGTATAAAAAGAACGAAGTTCGAAGGACTAATCTCACCTGATTTCTAGCACTAGTTTTGTTGAATGGAGATTTAGGGTCATCCGATGTATAAATCGAGTACCATCCTTCATGTACCTTAGGCTTATCACCTATATCATCATCTCCAAGAATATCGGAAACCGGAACTAGACGAAATTGCAAATTATTAACCCACTCCAACGACTGAATACTCCCTCTCCAAGCAATAACAATGTCTCTCCTCCCTAACAATTCAACGGACTCGTCCTCTGCCACCGCCACGTACCCTATAAAATTGGACTCTTTACTCCATGCCTCCCTAGACCATGACTTAAAAATGAAGGCATCAGGCAAATCTATCCCTGAAGTTGCATACAAGAATCTTGTAACACGATACTTGTAACGATTTCCATTTGCTAGGCCAACGTTTGAGAAGAACTTTTTCTTGGAAAAAAAACTACTACCAGCAAATTTTGATTTTTTTGAGCTATTGAAGGTATCATAGGTTGATTGAGACATTTCTCCGTAATGAATGATGTATCTTCGAAGATCGATATCGAGGGGGTCTAAGAGGCCTTCCCAATTGTTTTCACCACTTAGTTTTTTCCATGTTTTTGCAATGTGATGAGAAGAGTTCATCTTTCTGTTTTTTTCCATGGCTAAATTTACTTGTTTATCGAGAAAAAGTAATGTATGTATTGGAATACTACTTAGATTTATGCATATTTATGTAAGTGTTTGAGCGAATGAGGCTGTACATACTACTATAAAGTCACACAAATTGGTCATGTGAGTTCAAAAGCATATACTGTTCGTCATATATGAATTCATTTTTTGTCATACCATGTTCATAAACATATACTATTCGTCATATATATGAGTATCAAATGAACAAATGGAAAAGAAAGGTGTACGAAATGGATATATCATGGATTGCACGGCACGCTCAATGAGGTTGGTAATGTTACTTTTTGTTTGTAGTTTATGCTATTGCGTGCAGTGTATCGTTCATTTTGATTATATATACCTTTAATTTCTAACATGGGAACGTATATACATTGAATTTCTCATCAGGCATTATGTGGAATATTATACTACCTCTAGTTTTTATTACTCACAACAAAGGAATATTTTATATCTCACAAATAATACCCCTTTGTTACAAGTAATAAGAACCGGAGGTAGTATGTAACATATTTAGTTAACAGACTTTTCCTATAAAGTCAATTTTTTGGGGGTGTAATTATAAAGTCAATTATTAGTTTAACACTTCCTTTCTTTTCATAAAGTAGCATAAATCCACTTATTTTTTCTTATCAATTAAGCCTACTACATCTTGTTTTATCTACTATCCTCTAACTAAAAATTAAAAAAAAATAAAAAAAAAATAAAAAAATAAAAAAAAAAAAAACTCATTAGCCTTTAAATGTGTTAAAAGATAATATCTCACCACCCACTAATTACCAAGACTACCAATTTTCACTAAAGTGTTTTCCTGTAAAATGAGAGCATTTAAATGATAATTGACTTTAAATGAGAGCATTTAAATGATAATTGACTTTATAAGTGTTTTCCTGTAAAATGAGAGCATTTAAATGATATAATTCATTTAATCAACTTTTAAAACATAAAAACCCAATTTATTAAGATCAAAGAATAACAGGGATGTTGCTTTAAATATCATACATGCACAAACAGGATCAATACATTCAAAGTGCAAGGCTAATATATTAGACTAGGCAAGTCTGATAAAAATCACTTATCAATGGTTTTTGCCTTAATTCCTACTCAAATATTTTCCAGGGTTCTACCATCTAAGCACCAATACAAACTAAATAATTTAATTTAGCAGTAAAAGCTCAAATAAGCTTTTGCTATCTAGCAACAACAGAGTACTTGTTATCGTGATTCGACTTTCCTTGCTACTGTTATTTGATCTTTCTCTTAGCTTAAGATCTGAAACCTGACCGTGTCAAGGGAACAATGTTATAAATGGCACGAAATATGTAGACGTTAAAGACAGGTAAACACCCTTTTTGAATCAGCTCGAACACACATGAATCATGCACCTCCAAATTATTATCAAACACGAAGTTCGCCCAGTTTGGATTGAGATAGTATTGAAATTTACCAGGCCCACAAACTGACCATCTGTATCCAACAATCCAGCTTCGGTTTCCAACCTGCAGCTTCACGTCTCGAGTGCCTTGGACCATGTGCTCTATTGCCCATTTACTTGGGATTGTCTGCTTAAAAATCCACATATATATATATACATCTTAAGTTGCATTGGTAAATTGTAGCAAATAATGGTAGGATAATAAACTATAGCATAGAAAAACTGTGTGATTATGCAACCAGAGAAGTAAATAATACGAGTACAAGTATTTAGCTAGGATAATGCAGAATTTTAATCCTTTAATGCTACCACCTTGGCCTACTATACATGTTCTTAGAATTATTTTTGTCTACTCACTAGTAAGAAACGCGCTAGAGATAGACATAAATATGTACTGGTATCCAACTCGACAATTTAGATTGTTTTTAACCTCTTTATCTAGTGGATGGATTACCCGACGAGTATATGTAGCATAGTCTTTCTGACATGGAAACCTTTCAATATTGGTAACTCATTAATGACTTTTTTGGCATCAGCTTGTTTTACTAAATTAACCTCTTTACCTCTTGTACTTAGAAGCAGATAGACACTAAGATGTACTCCAAAGGATCACATTACTTAAACAGACCGAAGTACCAATTAAAGTCTGTGTACTGTTATTTATTTTCTTCCCATTTTATTTTCTAATTCATCTCAATATTGTTTCTACTAATTTACCAGCTCATAACCAAATAATCGGATTCCTGGCATGAAAAACAAGATCAAATTTTTCACATTTGAACTACGATAAGGAATTTTGAGATATTAATATTAACATATTAACTAGAGGATGGAGTTGCTCTTACTTTTAAACAGATTAATTAAACACTTTCCACAGGTAAAACAAAAACAGTTAGATTAATTAGAACTTAGACAAACTCAGGGGTATTGAAAGGAAAACAAACCAGTTTAAATATATGTTTAACATGTGTAGGCTTTAAGGTTATCTGAAACATAGGCGCGCTCTGAATCTTGTTCTGCCTCTCAATAGCCTCCATAAATTCGGTAGCCTTTTCTACAGCTCTTTCCTTTTCTTTATCTGTAGGGTCCCTCCTATTAGATATGTAGCATGCTCCGAGTTGGGGAGTTTTCCCTGCATGCATAACATGCT